CTATTTCCCGCGCTTGGTGGGAAACCCCGCCCTCCTCTGCTCCAGTCCGCCTGCTGATTGGCGCCCGAACGGCAGCATGTTGGCCAGCGTCCTCTTCTCCGCCTTCAGCTTTTGCTCTGAGAAGCCGCGCGCGTTTGGCTTTGAGGGCGCCGGCGTGAGAGCCTCTGGATTCTCTGCCGCTTCTTGCTCGGGCAGGGTCACCTAGGAAACGGGCCAGGGGCGCGCCGACCGAGCCTCCCTATGGCCGCGGTTGTGAGCCAGGCAGGGGCAGAGAGCTGCGAGTGCGAGCGCGCCCCCCCAGATGTTGCGCCCGGCCCGGAAAAAGGTGCCGGAACGCGGTTCCGCCGCGTTCCGGCTGAAAAAAAGCCCTGGTTGCAACAGGTTTTGGTCACTTCACATGACCCTGGGACGCTGTGACCATCATAAATATGAATCAGTTGCCAAGCATCTGAATGTAAATCACAAGATCCTGGAGATGCTGCAACATTCCAGCTGATCGGCGCTTCTTCTGGGCTCAGCAGAAGCGTCAGGATCAGTGCTGCTTTCCAGCTGATTGGTGCTTCTTCAGGGCTCAGCAGAAGCACCAGGATCAGCACCGAGCTCCAGCTTTCACTGAGCCCTGACAGCCCCGAAGCACCGATCAGCTGGAAAGCGGCACTGATCCTGGCGGTTCCGCTCAGCCCTGCAGCTCCAGCCATCTCTCACTCAGGCTTGTGCAGTGCTGCCACCAGTTCAGCTCATTCCCCTCCCCCATTACCACTTTTCTGGGATGGTTGCACCTGGCAGGTGACAATGTACCACAGGTGGTACCCGTACCACTGGTTGAAAAGCCCTGCTCTATGAGATTACTAGCAACAGGTACTACATTTCATTTGAATAAATCAATCCATAAAATTAAGGTTTGGCTTTCTAAATATTGGAGGTGTGTGTATCTGTATTTGAGAAAGTTTTTCTAATATAGCTATGCTTAATTTTCTTTCTAAGGAAGTGATATTTAGAGATAATTAAAAGAACAATGGCTCAGAAAAGACAAATTTGCATAATACACACAGACCTATTTTTGCTTTCTGAAGCAATATTGTCCAATGTTAACAGAATATTCACATTGTGTTTGAAGCAATGCTGCAGTTGAACATTTCTGTAGCACAGTGTCTAGAATAACTGAATTATCCGTACTGTGAGTTTAGTATCCAGGTGAGGAGAATCATCATGGGGATAACTGAGCACTACACCTTATCCAGTCCAGGCCTTGCTGTGTATACTGAACCAGATGCTCCATAGAGCTGTGCAATGTGATAGCTCCCATCAGTGTATCCAAATCATTAAAGAAATCTAGGAAAGAAAACAATAAAATAAATGAGACTCATTATTCCTTGCTGTGCAACAGCATTTCATTGATTTGGAAATCTCAAAGCAGATAGTATTTTATGAAAGTACTGTAATCAAAGATTAACTGATATTCAAAGGTTAAGGCACACACTGAACACTTTTACTGAGAAATAGCAAAGCTATTGTCATGATTTTGCTTAACTATAAACCAACAACGGGGAACATTTCTCTACCCTCTCATTTTGGTCCCTCTTTCTTGTCCATCAATGTCCCTTTCTAGGTTTTGCTTCTATACACCAGCATGCTCAGTTTCAGCCAATATTAAGAGTGCAGAAAGGATGTGATCTATTCTAGGAGGCCAGTCGGTGCAAATGCTAGACTTACTTTCTCAAGGACAATGCAGCACTCTAGGACTTGTATAGGCTTCTGGAAGCATATGGGAGTGAAACGTTCACTTTGAGATATAGAAGATGCCAGACAATGTTCATGTGCTGAAACCAAAATGTAACTCATGGACTGCCCACTTCTGCTGTAGTCCTGGGAATTTAAGACTTGTGCTGCAAAGGGATCCTTTCTTGCTTATGTCACAATATTAGAGGTTAGCTCTGAAGCTTTGGGAGGAACCTCCAAGATAAGAAGCCATATCAGGATTAGGTGGGGACCTAAGTCTGCTTTATCAGCAAAGGTGGGATTTCAGATTGCCAGACTTAAACTCTGGTTAAAATAACATTTTAGCTTTTCAACAAACTGTTTCTTATCACAAACCTTGGTTTTCCTTGGCAAGATTGTCAGCCATCTCCCAGTAGTCATAACTGTGTAAGATGCTGTTAGTGATACTAACATGGTTGGCTGCCATCTGGTGTATTCGCTGAGGAATGCTGATGATGGAGGAAGGGGAAGGAGCTCCGGTGCTCCCAACTGAGCTCAGTGGAGACAGACTGGGTGATATGGGAGGAGTTCCTGTACACCTGGAACAGTCAATTCAACAATATTACTAATACACAATAGCAGTAAAAAAAAAGTTATGTTAAGAATGCATCCAGTTTAGAATTTTACACATGTTTAGCCTATGAACTGCTTTAAGATAAATTTGGCTCTCCCCCTGTACTTTTCAACATGTAGTTAATGTTGTTTCAGGATATAAAGGAGGACAGATGAATTGAGGCTACCAGAAAGACAGCTTTCAGGTTGCAGACATCAGTCTTTTAACATTTTATTTTGCTTAGACAACTGGTAAATTAAATTTGCACATTTATTACATATATAAAATAAGAATATGGTAGAGATTTTCAAAATTGGATCATGCCTGTTATACTTTCCAGCCTGTCAAATTAAGGATTGCCTGGGGATGATGGGAGTTGTAGCCCAACACAACTGGAGGACTCCAGATTGAGGAAGCCTTCCATAGCAGACCAAGGCTTCTTGCTTAGAAATGCGTGAAGTAATCTTCACATTTCATTTAAATTACCTTTGTTTATTTTTTTTAGCAAAATAAGCTGCAAAGTGCCTCTTTTTTATTGACAAGGAGTTACCATAAACAAAGATTAGCAGCAACAATGAAACATTATCTTAAAATGCCCAGAAATGGAACTGCTGTGAGCATTAATGGCTGAATGATCATTTAGTATTACATAGCTTCCCCAACAAAGTGCATCCATCTGAAATGCTTTGGTCTGGAAGGCAAGGAGCAGATTAGGACACAAAATAGTAAACTTACTTCGCATTAATATTCCAGGTAGATGGTGCCTGAACAACTTTAGATGAATTCTGGAGACATAAAAAAAAAATACAAAAAAATTGAAATAAGCATCTAGCGCAGAATATTATGGAGAGAAACAGAGCAAAATCTTTAAAATCCATATGCAAAATGCACATCTTAAATTATGATATGGATAAAAATATTTATTTAGTACTCAGTGCAATTTCTAGTTACAATACCAAATAAATGATAAAACAAAAAAATGAAAGAAAATGTAACAGTAAAATAATACATAGCAATTTGTTTATCTCTTATATTTACATCCTGCCTTTCCTCCAAGACTCAAGATGGCAGCATAGCATCCCTGTTTTCAATTTCTTCCACTACAAACACAACTAAGGAGAGGTAGGCTGGATTGAAAGTGATGGACTGGTGCAAAGTCATTCCGTGAGCTTTCATGGCTGGGGGTGGTCAGAACAGGAACATACCTTGAAATACTCAATGAGAGCTTTTGAATATTTTACAGCATGGTCTCTTTTGAGTCGAAACATTCTCCAGTACAAAAGTGCCAAACAGCGGTAACTATAAGGAAAGGACAGAAAACACTTCTAAAAGAGTCTTCCATTTTAATAATCAAAATAAAATACAAATACCTTTCTGAGACTGTTTAAATTTACACGTTAAAACTGGAAAGGAGATAAAGTACAGCAAGCATTGCTCTTAATGTATGCAGTTATTTTGTTTTGTTATAGTAATAATATAGTTTTCCACCACTAAAAACCACAAATGTGTGGGATTGCAACTTTATAAAATTTAGTGAGATTATATGCTTAAAAATAGATACAGCCATAGGTACAGATTATATATTAATAACACTAACCCTCTCAAGCCTTTACTAAAGCTTAACTGAAATGTGTTTATTTACAGAAAGATCCTGGAATAACAAAGGCAAGTATTTTTTCAGCATTATTGTTTGCAAATAAAAAGATTATTGCTCTGAAAAAAAGTTAACAAAAAGTGGAAACATTTCTTAGCTTAGAAGAAAGGAAAGGGTAAATCAGAAGTTGTGTTTATTGCTATGTGGCTTAAATAAATGGTAACAAGAACAAAGAAAGGTTAAAATTGTAAAATTTGAAAATGTATGTTTAATATCTATAGTAACTATCATAATCTTAGATAAATTAAATAATATAGTAGACTTGATTTTCCTTTTCATTCCAATAGAGGGTAGTCTCTGCTAGGAGATGAAAAAGGAATAGAACAATTTTCTAGTAACACAGCTCCAAATGAGAATTATGCCCAATTTGCTTTGCATGATGTTATAATGGAATTAAAGATCTCAGGTCATAACTCACTCTATAACTTTCCCAGGTGTAGTGAAAATGTAGATGAGAGCAACTTATCTGTTCTGCAGCAAGAAAGGTATTATGATAACTAATCAATGCTGTTTAGAGGGAGTCTAATGCCTTTGGATTAAATTCCACAAACTAGATGTGCTATTGCTAATTGTTACAATTATTGTTAGTCCTCCCTTCTCACAAAAGAGATGCTACAAAGCAAACAGAAGTTTTAGAACCATTTTTTTAGTTCTACTGTGGCAGGATAACTGAAAATATAATGCTCACATTACTCTACTCAAAATATTGATTTGAAAGCTTATTTGTAAAGCATATATGTAATTTGTGTTACTATAAAATAAACTGCAAAATTAGAGGCTGACAATTTATCAGAATCTTAAGAGTCCCTGTCAAGCTTTAGTGCAACTATTTCTGCATATAGCATTGGGAGAGAGATACCATCACTAGTGTGTTAAGCTCAAAAAGATTTAGATAAGAATCAAAACAACATATACAGAGGGGGGGGGGAGGGAGGAAGAGAGGAGGGGGAGGGACAGTTTATAAAATCTCTGTGGCTTGATAAAGGTGATTTATTCATTGATTTTCAGTAACATCTTCCTCCTAAAGAAAGGTTCTGGATGCCTATTTGGTAGTCTACAGTTTTTCATGCAGAAGAACTAGAAACATAAGTCAGGATGTATTATTAACACTACCCAGTGCAGTAAGGCAACATGAGCATTGCCTTACAGACATTAATACATAAACAGATGGCTTTCTGTACTGCTTGCAATGCTTGTTTTTCTTGTTCACAGAGGAGGAATAGTATTGGAATATATGAACATCCACAGGGGGAGAGTGGAATCATGAAATGTGCACCACATTGTGGTGCAAACCATGTGCCTTACGTGTGTCTAATATTACAGTGACAGTACAAAAGCTACATTATCATTTTTGCCGAATAGAACACCTATGACTAGTTTGCTCTTCAGAGATTTTAGCTTGAACTGCTCTGCAATGCTTCTGATAACAATCAGTCACAAAGTATGTCAGGGGAAAAAACTTGTTAAAAAGAAACAAGAGACAACACACAACAAAATTCTCTCAAATCTAAAATATGATTAATTAATTATATCACTCATAAAATAGATATTGATATATTTTTCCTTTCAGAGGTAGAAAGCTAACTCTTTCCATTCTCTAAAGATCTGGAAAGGCATAGCTACTTGGCAGCATATAGCTGAAATTGGTTGAGCTCAAAAATTTAAGCTGGATTAGCACTTGGATGACTGTAGTCTAGACAAGAAAAATTCCAGAAGAACACATTGGCAAACCATTGTAAAAAAAAAAACTGTTTGGATGTATTCATGAGATCACGTTGAAGCTTGCTAAAGTTTAATTTTGAAAATAACATAGGAAAAGCTGGTTTTTGAATGGTTATGTGGTACTACAGGTAGTCCTTGATTTAAATTATTTATTTAATGACTGTTTGAAGTTATGATGATGTTGAAACAAGAGATTTATGACTCACGTATGGCCACTGTAACATCCCTAGGGTCATGTGATCAAAATTTGGTTGCTGTGGCCTATTCAGAATTAGGCCATGAGAGTGGCTGGCCTGAATGTGCGCGTGTGAGCGCAGCTCAACTTGTGTGAGGGCCGGCGGGCACTCGCGCTCATGTGTGCCGACCCGCCACTTATGGAAGTTGAGCTGTGTGCAAGCCGCAAAGATTGGAGGC